GTCAGGACAGGAGGGCACGCCACCACGTCGGGTCGGCGCCGCAGCCAGCGCAGACGGGCAGAATCAGTCGAACGTCGAACGGGTCGTCCTGTGCGCTACGCTTGTGTTGTTGGGCGGAATTTTATTTCGTAATGGCGTCGTGCTGTGTGGAGGATTTGTCAATTTATGGTTTTTCGCTACACCTAGTTGTGCCATTTTGTGTTCGAAAGGATCTCTGCGACCTACCAGTGCTTATTAGTTGGTGAGAAAGATTATTTGTTGAAAGATAACGTCGCATAACTATCAATTGTTTAGTTTATTTAATTTCAATATGGCGTCGGTTAGGAAATTTCTAACTTTTCTGATAAATAGCCCCTAGAAACCCGAACTTCATTCTTCATTAGGTAAGAGAAAATAACCAATAATTATTTTTTGTTTTCATAGTTGATTACATTCTAGGTGTGCAAGTTGAATTGTACTTCAAGAACTTTGGATTTTGGTTCTGTGGTTGTTTTGGTTAGATAATGGTACCTTTATGAAATTGGAGCACCAAAAAAAAAAGAAAACGCCGAACTCCCCTACTACAACATGCTGCCACTGCCAAACTTTGGTTTTCGATGACATGACGGGGCATAAATACTACATTATTTAGGCAAAATTGTCCGTCGATTATTATTAGTTGATAGATAATCAATATAAGTATACATGTACCTTATTTTTTCAATAAAAAATGTTATTGGAAACTGATGTGCCTACTTAATTTTATAATTTTCAATTTTTGTTTTTTTTTTGGAAAAAGTTCTGACTTCCAGAAAATAGAACGAAAATTGAAAATTATTGAATTAGGTAATTTTTAATCCATAATCCTAAAATTCATTCACCTATTAAAGTCATACTAGAAACATATAGAGGATGTTTCTGACACCTGCCCCGGATGTATTAGGTACATTCCGCGTCATCTTAGAAACATCCCTGAGAGATGTTTATAGGACATCGCAAATGATGACACGGCTGTTGCCTGCAACATCCCAGGGATGTCCCCAGGAAAATAGGGACCTCCCAGGGACGTCTTCATTATCCCTGATGGATGTTTCTGCGATGTTACTGTGTTATTAGGGGTGGTATGTGCATGGAGTCAATGGAGTGGACGAAAAGAATGAAATCAAATTGGAAAATGAATTCATCATCATCAACGCTTAAAGTACTGAAGACTGACTGAAGCTGCCGGTCTACAGTGACTTTATTACCACAGTGGCGACAATTGCGGTCTCATTTTTGATTGGTTCAAAAATCCCATATGTTTATATTGAAAATGCCGCCATCTTGTTCCCAACCTCTTGTTACTTTTAAATATGAATATATAGGATTTAGGTGAACATCCATCATAAAACATGGAAAACAACGTATTTGATGAACCTAATAATGGTCATCAAATATGCCGATTTTAATTTTTTATGATAGATGTCTATTTAAATCTTATATATTAATATTTGAAAGTAACAAGAGGCTGGGAACAAGATGGCGGCGGGAACTCTATTGTCGCCACTGTATGTAAAGGTTTATTTAGCCACTGTAGCCGGTCGACGCCCGGAGTACGTTCGAAATCAGTGTGGGCGTCAAACCAAGTGCACACCAGGTTTGCTTTAAGAAATAGCACTCTAGGTGTGAGAGTGACCCTAGACTAACTCTAAACCGTTCATAATTTACCAGGTGCTCGGAGCGTTACCTGGAATCGTTCAGAAATCGAGAGTTGACGCGCCCAGAGTACGCCCAAAGTACCCCACTCAGGGACTGGGTTGAAAAACGCCCCGTGCCCCGTGGTTTTTACCGAGTTTGACGTTGACATTTACCACAACGCCCCAATACGTTCAGAAATAGCGCACCTAGAGTGCACTCAAAGTGATGGTTTCAGAACACTCTGACAAACAACTACTCTACCCCCACACTCCATTTCTAAACGCACTCCAGCCGTTTGGTTATTGGTGTAAAGTCCGGTTGATTTTCAGCCTAGTTCAAAAATATCCGAGGTGTTACCCAAGGCGAGTTCGGCTTGGCAAAACGAAGTTGGAGCGGATGAAGAGCAGTTTCATATGCCACGTGATCACAGAGTGAAAAGCGTAAAATGGTTAAGTCGAACGCATCAGGAGCACGGCGAGCCGCGGCCGGCGATTGCCGTAGGCGCTTATCCCCATGACAAACCTAAACATGTGGTTTTGCGGATATTTTGGGGAGCGATGCAATTTTTTCTACCAGGAATCCCTGGAGGCAACCAAGCCCTAAGCAAAAAGTATTGAATTTTGAATTTTTTAGATTAGGTTTGTTAGGATAGTGAATTATTGAAAATTTAAATTTTACCGCCTTTTGGAAATATAGGAAGCAAGCATGCCCGCACCTCGAGCTTCATCTCGCGAGGTGGTGCTTATGGAGTTAACTCTTTTCACTTTACTTGGCTGTACCCGAACGATAGTCGATAAGGAGCTTGCACGATTTGCTCCCAGTAGCCTGACCCGAACGGTTTTGCAGTGAAAAGTGTCAAAGGCAAAGGAGTCAAAAGAGTTGCCAAGCCGAACTCACCTCCAGTGTGCACTCTTTCTTAACCAACTCTACCGCTAGGTAAGGCGACGTTCCGTAAGTTAATCAAGATTCTTGGTTTTTTCGGTTTCCGTTCCGTAACCTAACCACTCCTGCAATCTGGTTAAGCTATGAAATACGGTTCCTGAAAAATTCGGTCCCAACTGTCGACCGAATCTTCCGATCAAAACGCTGGTTGTTTCGGTTTGTTTTCAATTTCTGACATTGTTTGTTAGTTAGGTTAGGTGATAATTTGTTACAGCTATGGACGTCGTATGCGAGGATGATAAACACTACTACTACAGGATGGCCTATCCTCATAAGGCCTGCGTGTAACAAATCTCCCCCGTCCCCCCGCCTAAATACCAGTTGTCACGTAGGCAGCATGTTATTCCTCGCCTTGATGTAGGCTGTTTATACAGCTGACGACTTAGTTATGACGTCGGCAATGGTGGCACACCAATATGGCGGCGATTACCAAAAACGAGGCCGATAAGCACTCCTTAGCAGCGTTGCCAACATGTAAATGGAATGAACTGGTTGTTTAGCGATTCAAGCTATTTTTGGTCTGTAAACAAGCCTTTACGGAAACGCTAATCCGACTAGCCCGATCACCAGCTGATGTTATCTGTCTATTTTCAATGGTGTTCATTGAAAAAGGATGAAATACAAACAGCCGATGATCGGGTGAATCGGATCAGTGTTTCTGAAAACGTGTAAAATCAAATGGCACTGTCGTCTGGTGTTGAAAAGTTTTTGAAACACTTGAGAAATACAGCTAATGAACGCCCCAAAATTGATAGCAGTCTGTTTCCACAGAAATCACAAACCATTCAGAGGGTTTTTGATTGGTCTCAGTCCCAATCGCCAACAACCAGTTTCCTTACTATTTTCAACCAATGAAATTCGCTCTGACTGGTTTGTCATTTCTGTCGAAACAGACCTATTGTCGTTGGCTCCGCATGATTTGGTTATTGGTTGGCACCACTGACTACCGCGCGACCGAACCGGTACTTCCCCGGGCCTCGAATCTTCTCAACAAAACCATTTCATTTGTTTAGCGCATTTCGCATTTTTCATTCTGACGGATTTTATTGGCGGAAAAGAAAAATAATTTAACGGATTTTTGACGGAAACTTACAGCAAAGTTAACGGAATTAAAAAAATACTGTTGGCAACACTGCTCCTTAGAGTGTTTATTTTCCTTGCGTCGTATGGACGAAATTTTGATGAAACTTTTCTCAGTGACACGATGATAGAAAGCACCCAACAAATATATTGGAAATACCCGGATATTACGCCTACCATATATATTATTCTGATAAAAAAAACCGGACATTTTTATGAAGCAGATGTTTCATGTGTTTATAAAAAAAAAGCACGAATTTTTTTTTTCGGGACCACGCCCGGATAATACACCTTACTACTATCGGATAGCCCTTAGTAGCTTATCCTCATAGGGCCTGTGTAGAACAAATCTGACGCCCCCCACCCCACCAAATCACCATTTGTGACGTTGCAGCATGTCGTTTCTCGCCTTGACAGTCTGTTTGTTTGCACCACAGGTTATGATTCCGCGGGCTTTTGCTTTATATGTAGTTATACTTGATTTTACTACATTAATTGAAATTCTAAAACAACTATTTTTTAGATCTCGTTTGCTTCTTCCTATTTGCCTATTACGTCAATCAAAATTAGATAATATTTTATATTTTACTACGAATACGACTGCTGGCGTAAACAGCTAACGTCGCCAACGACTAAATTGATGACAAGGGCAATGGTGATACACCAATGTGGCGGCGATTACCAAAAACGACAATAAATTTGGGGACGCGGGACATGGACCTTGAAATAAGGGACTGTCCCGTATAAAGCCCGGGACACATCTATCATACATTCTTCCGATCCGACTCCGATCATACAATCAGGGTCCTTATTCTTGGAACAGAGAGCAGTGTTCCCAGGCGTTCTCCTGGGAACGCTGCTCGCCTATTCCAAGAATAAGGACCTTGATTGTATGATCGGAGTCGGATCGGAAGAATGTATGATAGATGTGTCCCGGCCTTAATACGGCATGTATGGCAGGCTTACCGGATATACCTACCTGCCTTATCATGGAATTTCTAAATTTGCGGAAAGAAAAATATTATTGATGTCCCTGCTACACCTTCGTGAAATTCCAGTTTCAATTTTGACACAAGAAAAGCACAATTTTTTAATATTTTAGTTGTATATTCTATTTTCATAATAAGTTTGAATAATAAGTTTAATAATCACAAGACTAATGTACAGCATACTGTAAACGTACCTAAAATTACTATCAGAGATATATACCTACAAATCTTTTAGGACCAAAACAAAAAAATATTATAAATAAATCAATAGGTGGGCACACAAAAAAAAAACAAATATTTACATATCGAAACAACTTTATGGTACAAATTAGGATAAATTATTTAGGGTGCTAAGAAATAATAATATTTTTTTAAAGAGGCTTCAGTAGTAAAAATTTGAAAAAGTGTATGATATTTACTTAAACTTTACTGAGGCTGATAACAAATTGTTTCTTAATTTCTATAGGTGTAAATTTATTTATTTTTTGGTATGTATACATACATACTAAATATTTCACAAGAGAACTTAAAGATTTCGTGCATAGTTTTTGCGACATAATCGAGACCAATAGTTACATAGGTGAGGTAAATACATTTTCTTAAAAGAATATGTAATTTATTGTTCAACCTACCCTTTGTACGCTAAAAAACTCACTACTAAAGCCTATAAGTACTGCAACTTTGAAAATTAGAAACAATGCAAAAAAAATATGTTCATAAATTATTAGTGTTTTCCAGATAAAATTAATTTCTTTTTCCAACAAACACTATTGAAAGAAAACTCTGTGAGGCTTATGCTGTCATTGCTTAGATATTATGTATTATGGCACCAGTGTAATTTGAACACAAGTGTCAGCTTCAATAGTGAGTACAAAAAATAGTGTATGCAATATGTATTGAACAACTTCTAACACTAAAATCATGAACAACTACCTTCAAGATTTTCCACTATCTACCTACAATCTAGATGCCTATTAGAATATAAGAGCCTTACAATAATCTAAGGTACTTGTTTGTTGCTACTCGAGAATAAGTCTCATATAATAGAAACATCCCTGATTATCAAATATACATAATGAATTGAATAATTGATTAAATTATTCAAAAAGGAATAGTTATTAAATAATTAATTCGGAAGTTACATTGATTAAATAACTTTCTTGTCCAATGTAATTGGAAACAAGACTCAAGCAATTCAGCTACAAAAATATTTCATGAAAATTATAAGATTTTATCAATCTAGATAATATACTGCATTATTGGATAATAGGAGTAAAGAAAAATGTTATAAGTATTTAATTTTTAGCTAAAAGCAAGTTGTTTTCGTTTTCCCTATTTTTGATTTCTTCTTTTTGGTTTAGTTGCTTCCATGTGTCTCCAAGGGCCTTGGCAAAGTGATCGTCCACACTGAGGCCGGTGTCGTCCATAAACTCGATGACGTTAGTTGCCACCTTTGAAAAATTAAAACAAAATAAATGAATTAATGAAGACACAGTCACTAGTTAGTTTATCATTTACCTTTGGTGGAGTCTTCAGAGGAAGCTCCTTATCTTTCTGCGGATTATTATTTTGGAATATGATCTGATAATCTCGGCCCAAGGATCTCCGGAAATGTTCTTCTATGACAGGATCGCACATTGATATTCCTAAAACATGACAATATGTAAATTTCAAAAAGATTGCGTATATAGACTTGTTGCTTCAACATTACCAAAATGTCATAAGAGAAAAGCAAAATAAAATAAATTTTGACGTTTTTTGTCTAGGATTGGCATACACAAAACAACATTTAAAAAACCCAGTGGATCTGTGAAGCAAAAACTGTCTCAGTGTCATTTTTGGAAAATTTTCAATGTTAGTTAGATAAATTCAATTTTAAAACTTCTCGAGTGCAAAGCTGTCGAAACCAAATTGAAATCTTGATTAACAGGTTTGTGGAGCATTTAATTGGAGCCTAATTACATTGAAATCGGAAAAAAATTAACGGAGCTGTGAGGCAAAAACTGTCTGAATGTCATTTTTAGCACTTTTTCAATGTTCGATAAATTCAATTTTTGAGCTTTTCAGGTGTAAAACTGTTAAAACGAAATTGAAATCCTAATTGATAGGTTTGTAGAGAATTTAATTGGCTTTAATTAGACCCTAATTGAATTGAAATCGGATGGAAATTAACGGAACTGTGAGGCAAAAACTGTCTCAGTATCATTTTTGGAAAATTTTCAATGTTTGATTAAATCAATTTTGAAGCTTCTCAGGTAGAAAACTGTAGGAACAGAATTAAAATCTTAATTATCAGGTTTTTAGAGAATTTAATTGGCTTTAATTAGAGCTTAACTACATCGAAGTCGCATGAAAGTTGAAGGAGCTGTGAAGCAAAAACTGTCTCAGTGTCATTTTAGTAAAATTTTCAATGTTTGATACATTCAATTTTGAAGTTTCTCAGGTGCAAAACTGTTGAAAGTTGGAACAAATATAAAATTTTGTGTAGTTAAGTGAACACAAAAACCCAAAAACTCAATAAAAATTGCCAAAAACCCAGGAATTGGAATCCAATAGGTACCTATCTTACCTGAGGGTAGTTCATCCCTGCTACTGGCTGAAGGTGGAGCACCGTTATTTGCAACGGGACTCCGGTAACTTGATCTAAAGCCTGGGTTACTTATTGTTTGAGCATAAGATGGAGGCTCCCCTCTTTGTCTCACTGTCATGTCTAGGGGTGAGTCAATTCCGTTCGCTATTTGATCCACCTCCCTCTTCACTTGTATGCCTTTTTAAAAATATAATTTGAAAACGCAAAGTCTGACGATAACGTTGTTCAACTTACGGTTGGAATGACTTATTGGACTACTACCGTTTGAGATACTGGCTTCAGGACTCGATGGTTCGACACCGAGCGTTTCAGGAACTTTGGGATCCGATCTTCTGGAATATTCTGGCAGGCGCCTTCTATCCCGCTTCCATTTTGTTGTCTGTTTTTGGGACTGCTTTTTCAAATCTTCTGAAACAACAAATAAAAATAAAAATCATCTGCACACTTCGACATTTCAATGTCAATATAAAAAATTAAATCTCTAAAATAAAACGGATTTTCTATGTATTTTGACATCAAAGTTTGTGAACTCAATCAAAAGTATTCCTCTGAGGGCATTTTCCTAATGCATTTTCTCATTTTTGTGAATTGTCTTCTCAAATGGCTGTCTAGGGTATCACACTTATCTTCGTTAATAACACACAAAAAAATACTAATAATTAAATTTTGGAACTTTTCAAAAAATTCTTGACAGTGTGGCGAACCATACTTTATAAGTTATTGAGACTTATTGGTACCTACTACGATTTAACACTTCTTGTTTCGTATTCGTGGACAGTTTTTGGTCTATAATATCATTGTATATAACATTCACCTATAACTTTCATAGCTCATAGCAATGACCGATACCTCAAGAAATTGTTTATTTACATTATATGTATGTAGGTAGCTAAATTTTTCGAAGTAAGTAACGATGGAATCAAAATAACATGTTGAAACTACATGCTGTTATTTTGTCATTCTACATCTCTTTGCCTTCTAGCAGAATGATATTTTTCTAGAAATTCAATGAAAAAATTCAAAGTATTGAAGCTCCAAAGACAGGGCCCGCGAAAAAGTAGGTATCAATTCTTCATGTCATACAGCCCCTGTGTACCAAACATAATAAATCTCGTACAACAGGTTCTATGTTCTCATGGGCGAATTTTAGGGGGCTGTAACTCCTAGATGGGGGCCATTTACCATAATAAAAACTACGGGTTAACTCGTGCCAAAGATCTCATACATTGGGTACGTTTCGCCACACTGTCAATAATTTTTTGAAAAGTGTTCCAAAATTCTAATTTAGTTGCATTTATTTCGGACTCCCTGTATATTGGCAAGTTGGATCTCCTGTTCAGAAATGTTTAAGATTTGTGATCTTTGTGATTTGTGTGTGTGGGTTACTTGCTCAAAACTATTTTCACGGGTATTCCGGTGTTGTCAAATGTATAAATACATTCGTAGATTGCAATTTGACAGGTGACAAGCGTCGCATTTCCATGAAAATTGAGATAGAAGTATGCAGCCTTAAAGTGCTTAATTTTCCAGATACAGGGTGTCAGAGTTATACATATATTTTCGATTTTTGTCAATTATTCCTCAATAAAACGAAAACACTTGACAGGTGACAGACCTCGCATTTCCATAAAGTTGAGATAGGAACATGCAGCCTCAATGTTTTATTTTTATTTTCGATTCTTGTCAATTATTCCTCAACAAAACGACACAGCGAGCCAGAATCACGTATCGGGGGGTTTGTTAAGGCGAGAAATCCAAATTCATTCACGGCTTTGATATCACTAGTAGGGGGCGCCACCTACGGCACATCGAACTTTTTTTAAATTATCACAACTTTTTTCCAGTTTGGTGCATCGAGTTACAATCAAATCTGTTGCATAAGAAATGTCAATGAAGATTATCTCTAGGGACTTGGACAAAAGGTCTGTTGTCACAAAAGTCTCTGGCAGTTTTCAAACTGTCAGTAATAATCGCTCAGCTAATAAGTTACGGATTTATCGTGGAACGATGACATTGAAAACATGCATGGGCGATGCTTTCTGACAGTTTGCAAACTGTCAGAGACTTTTGTGAGAACAGACCTAAAGTAGGTAGGTAAGTACGAAGAGAAAAAATCATGTGTAGCATCGTACACATGTCGATAAAAAAATCCCTCCTCTTAAGCGGGGATAAAGACGAAGGACCACACAAAAGGGAGACGCGCATCTTTAGTGACGTCACAAGGGTATTTGCGCTTGACAATAATAGGCAATCCTCTTTGCTTATACGGGGTATACCATTTAAAACGAAACAGGCTAAATATCTGATGCCACGTTAATTTTTTAAAAAATCGCTCGTGTACTTAATTTGATTTTCAAAGGGGGAAGTTTTCTGCAACTATTTTTATCACTTCAACTTCAACCCTCTAGGCGGGGTTGGACCAACCTTTACTATCTCGAATGAAACAAGGGGTCGAGTGATACCTGTTTTAAAAGAGCGTTCAATTTTCTTTTATTAGGTGTCATTTGAAAGAAAATTGGACGCTCTTTTAAAACAGGTATCACTCCACCCCCTGTTCAATTTAAAATGATGAGGGTTGGTCCCAACCCCCCTAGAGGGTTAAGTTAGTGTTGAAAATTTTTCAAGCACTCACACAATCAAATTACGTGTTTTTTTTAAAAATGAAAGTGACATCAGATACCTATTTAGCCTGTTTCGTTTTAAATGGTCTACCCTGTATAATCCTTAATTGGTTTCTGTCAATCAATGGCTGTCTTTCTCTGTCGCTCTACGTTATATCTGTCTTCTCTCTCGTGTAACAGAATTTGCCAAAATGTGACGTTTTCTTGAAATGTCAGACTCTTCAATTCTCGTCCAAAATATCAGACCTCCGCCTAAAAAGTTCACCTTCAGAAAGGTTGAAAAATCAATTTTTTTTCATATTCACATCAATGCATCAAACTGAAATAAAGTTTTGATAATTCAAAAAAGTTCAATATGCCGTAGGTAGCGCCCCCTAATAGTGATATCAAAACCGTGAATGAATTTGCATTTCTCGCCTTAACAAACTCCACGATACGTAATTCCGGATCGCTATGTCGTTTTATTGACAAAAATCGAAAATAAAAGTATATTTTTGACACCCTGTATCTTGAAAATTAAGCATTTTACAGCTTCGTTCTCAGACTCTCAGTTGCGCGAAATTCGCTCTTTTTTGACATTTTGACGTTTTATGCATGTAACAAACGTCAAATTGTCCAAGCAATGTCAAAAAAAGAGCGAATTTCGCGCAACTGTGAATGAAGCGGCTGTATGTTCCTATCTCAATTTTTATAGAGATGTGAGGTCTGTCGTCTGTCACCTGTCAAGGGTTGGCGATCGGATATCGGGAAACCCTGGTATATGTATAATATGTATATTTAAAATGTTCATATTTCAACACCCTACTTATGTAAGAACTAAGAATATTTAGAATACTAACTGCAACTGGTAATGAGGAAATATTGGCAAAAAATGGATTATGAATTGTGATAAGAATATTAACTAAAACCAAAAGTAATAATAAGGATATAGATCATGAAATAATCTCATATTTTTGTATTATGGGACTTATTACTGTATAATTGCTGCAAATGAAAAACATTCCTATAAATTAAAATAAAATAAATTTAAAAGAAAAACAGCGCCTTGTTCAACAATATTTCTCCAACTTAAATTATATTTTAAAACACCCATATTTGTTAATGAGTGAAGTGAAAATATAGAAAAAAGTAATTTTATTAGATATTTTATACCTTTTATACGTCATAAATATAATTGAGATTCGAATAATAATTTTAAAAAAATATCCACAAATTCCACCATAATTTAGAGCTATTGACAACGGTGTAAGGTACCAATTAAAATTTTAGTTATTCATCGACCGAATAGCGCGACATCTATTGACGATTATTCAAACTAGACCAATATAGATACTTGCTTTCGAATATTATAATTAGGTGCTCACAGGTGGCAGCACTCTGTTAAATTCGTGAGAAAAAACTATGAATAATTGTTGAGGCAGGGTGAAGGAAGAAGTTTCTCGTTAGAAGGTGGACATTCTTCTACTTCTAGGATGAATATGAGAATGAAGAAAAACATGGATCTAGAGGATGCGGTCCTTCCAAAGACATATATGAATTCTGAGGGCCTACAAAATTGCATTGGTGCGGAAAAACTGACGCCATTGTGCGCGACCTGTGCGGAAATGACTTGGAATTTGTCGCGGTGAGGGCCGGTTTCTCAATAGCTAGTCACCCCCGAATTATGCATAACTCCAAGATAAAAATTGCAACTGGACACGTTTACCCTGGAGTAAGAACCAACCCCGAGGTGACTCCGCTGTTGAGAAACCGACCCTTAATAAACAATACTTTGAGAGAATTCTAGAGAGATTTCTGGCTTGATTGATTTTGTAGTCTTATTAGATTTGCTTTTCATGAAGACGAAGCGTTTAATTGGTAATGAAAATTTTTGAGAAAGATTTCTTGTTCGGGTGGATGGGTATACCATTAATATTAGAAAACAGGATACTTTCCATTAACCAGTAAACAATAAGAAATTATTGTATAAATATTTGGCTTTAATACGAAGGCAATTCCTGCCAGAAAGTAAATGTTCAATTCATAGAAAGGAAATAAAATAAGAAACCTACCAATCAAGGTTTTCACGCGACCAATCTGTGATATAAAGGGGTAAACTTTTTCTTCCCATTTTGACGAATGCCTTTTAATAAATACATGCATCTAATCGAACTGCTTTGAAACCGTGTAAAATAAGCCCTTTGATGTCCTCTTGGTAGCTTAAAAATTAAGGTTGGTGGAAAAATGCCAAAGCAATAACTACCTATACTCTTTAAGAAAAAGCATTTGTGAAGAAAAATTGTAGGAATTATAATACCTTTTTCCTCTATTGAAAAATTAAAATTCTCTCAAAATGGGCGTAGCACCTAGAGTCATGGTGAGTATAGGTTCCTATTTGTACAATAAAAGGACGCATTGTTACAGTTAATTCAAAGGGAAAATTTTCCAATTTTACTTTTCTACTTGCCATGCATTTAATTACCAAGTAAATGTTAAAATTTCAACGCAAAATCGTTAATAAAATAAAGTGTACCTTGATCCACCCAAGGTTGCCAGAAAACCATCTTATTCTTTTTCACACTCTCTTCTTCAAAACGCTCTTTTGCACGCATCATGAAGGACAATTCCAACAATTCTTGAACAAAATAAGGAATTTCCATAATCCTTACAATTTCACCACTTGGAAAACGTAAAAAGCCTTTGAAGGCCGCGCCAGGAAGCCACTTAACACGTTTTATTGACGCTCGTCAATAGGAAGATCCTTGTATAAGTTGTAACTCTAAGAAAATAGTAACTCGCGAGTTCATT